TGCAAAAACAGTGCCAGCTCTTCTGTAGCTTTTCTTGTAGGCATGTTCATTAGCAAAACGCTCACAGTTAATAAGAACAAGATGTTGGAGCGCCTGGGTGGTTCAGTCTGTTAAGCCTCCGACTCTTGATTTCAGCTCAGGTCATGATCTCAGGGTCCTGGGATGAGCCCTGCGTGGGCTCCGTGCTCAGTGGGGAGTCTGCTTGAGATTCTTTCCCTCTGCCCCTCCCCCCAACTTGCACCTGAGTGCACCCTCTGTCTCAAAATAAATAAGAATGATGTTTAAAACAGTATTTATAGACTTCAAGGTTTTCAAAATAGAGATAAATATGTAACAATAACTATATATGAATAACTATATATGAATATATGACTTGATTTAAGATGAGATAATACCAGAATAGTTAGCAACCACTTCACAAATATTTGGGGGATACCTCTTAGCTCAGCTTCCTTCAAGCTATTTCTGTCATGTGAAACAATTGTATTTACTGCTACACTGATGCTCCTTCCCTCTGCGTATATATTTTCCTTTCAATATTTGGATTAGTGGTGTATATACTTTTGAGCCTTTTCACAAATGATCATTAACATTGTTCTATGTTATTTTTTCACATATTCTTTTATTGGCTGCAAAGTATTCCATCATCTAAATGTGCCATAATTATTTAATTAGTCCCAACTTTCAAACCCTTAGGTCAGTTCTGATTTTTCATTGTCATAATTAACCTATGACATTCTTATATCAAAATGTTACAGGATTTCTTCTCCTTCACTGCCCACAGTTCTTGGTCATGCTGCTTAGAAGAATGAAGAGGTAGACCAGACAGACGAACAGTGGTGGGCAGCAAAGCAAAGCTTATTAAGTGATAGTAAAGTTTATTGAGCGATAGTACAAAACTCCTGAAGAGGGAGGGGACCTGAGAGGGTTGCCGATTTGGCATTTAGACCTAGGTATTTTTGTTTTTGTTTAATGATTTTATTTATTTATTTTAGAGAGAGCACAAGTGCGAGCACAAGCAAAGGGAGCTGCAGAGGGAGAGGGACAAGCGGGCTCCCTGCTGAGCAAGGAACCCAATGTGGGGCTCGAGACCAGGACCCTGGGATCATGACCTGAGCTGAAGGCAGATGCTTAACCGACTGAGCCACCCAGGCGCCCCAAGATCTAGGGGTTTTTATGGGCTCTTTGTTGTAGGCTGTTTTAATCTGATTAACCCTCTGTGTGCCTGTCATCTACCTATCATGTGGGAAAGGGTGGAGGGCTCCTTCCAGGGTGGTGTAAAATCCTTTTAAGGGTGGTTTCCTCTTGGGGGCGGGGTGCTTTTCCCTGCCTGCCTGTCTTTCAACTATCCTTCATGTTATAAGCATTTCTAATAAATTCCTGAGGACAAATTCTTAACAAGTAGAATGTTTGGGTCAAAGGGTAGGAATGAACTTAAGGTTTTTGATGAATATTGCCAAACCAATGCATGCCCTTCTCAGTGATTATTAAGGGCTTTTATTTTTCCTTGTCCTTACCAATACTAGGCTTTGTTGCTTAAAAAAAAAAAACCAAAAAGACAAAAACACAACTTTACCATTCTGAGAGACAGTAGGTGGTAGAGAATATCTAATATAATTTTCTATTTTAATAAGTATAGTATATGGAGCATAATTGCGTCTTGATGAGGCTAAGTAGTGATTCTGACTTCTGTGCTGTGCTCTGTAGGGGTGATCTGCTGACCTGTAGCATAAAAGTCATACTTCAAGAAAGCTTTGTGCCTCAGAACAAACCCTGTGTTTATGAGTTAGAAGTAAGGAGGCTTGGATTCCGGTTCTAACCAGTCATCTTTCCTTAGGCAAGTGTTATATTCTCAGTAATTTACTTTAAATACCTCAGAGGAGCCAGTGGGATGCTTATCTGTGTGCAAGTTAACTTGAGTCTGTGCCCTGAGGATCCTCCCTCTAGAGGCCATTATTGCAAGCACTTCAAATATTGCCTTCTAAATCAGTACCGGAGGGTTAATTAATTAGTCTAATGAATGTCGGAAATAATTTTTCACTGATGAAATGAGTAACGTGCAAGATATGAGACAAGTAAGATTGCAGATGTGTTTCTCTGCCTTTTTAAAAATTTATTTTATTTTATTTTATTTTGTTTTAATTCCAGGATAGTTAATGCACAGTGTTATATATTAGTTTCAGGAATATGATATTGTGATTCGACAATTGTGTACATCTCTCTGCCTTTTTTTGAACAACATAAGAAATAAGCTCACTAACAACATTGCTGTTATATTAGTGCCCTGTCTAGAACTCTGTTTGTTCCGGAATCCTCCACTTGCCCAAGGATTTCGTTGCTTGATCTGGCTAGAAGAGTAGCTGATTACATCATTGTAATAGAGGGGCACGTGCCCCAGAGGGAAACTTTCCTGTGAAGGTTCCTGCAGTGTGTCCAAGTGCACGGCGAGGAGGGGACTCCATTGAGCTTCCAGAAATGTAGTTTGGACTCTTGTGGTGCCAGCTTGCTGGTCTTTCTTGTGGCAGAATTCAACCTGAGACTTGCTTTCATTGTAACATACCTCCAGTGGTGTGGTCGTAGCGAGAGACAACCCACCACTTCTAACTTAACCTCTTGGAAACTTTTTGCTCTGCTGTATGAGTTGCAAGAGGTGGACTAAATTATTTCTGACTTCCCAATTAGTTCTAAAAGTCCTAGATCATGTGATATAAAGAACATAGCATTAGATTCAGATTGCCTGGCATCTTTATTCAATAGAAAAGAAATATTTATCATATTTAATGTTAATTTCAATGATGTCTAATAGAAAGGGAATAAAAAGGGAAATTGAAGTATAGAGCGATTAAATAGCAAAGTTCTGCCTCTCTCCAGAATTCGTGCTCTTTCTACTGATGGCCCTGTGTATCATATAGATACAGTAACAGATAATTCTGCTAGGGACTAAATTGTGTCCCCCTAAGATGCCTATGTCAAAGCACTAACCCCCAGGGTGACTATATTTGGAGATAGGGGCTTTGAATAGGTCATTAAGGTCAAATGAGGTCATAGAGGTGGAGCCCTAATCCAATGTGACCAGTGTCCTTAATAAGAAGAGACGGACACCAGGGATGCACACGCACAGAGGAAAAGCCATGTGAGAGCCTTCATTAAGAAGGTGGCCATCTGCCAGCCCAGGAGAGAGGCCTCCCAGACACCAAACCTGTCGACAGCTTGATCTTGAACTTCCAGCTTCCAGAACTGTGAATAAATAAATTTTGTTGTTTCAGCCCTTAGTCTTTTGTTATGGCAGCCCTAGGGACTAAAATGCCCCTCACCTCTGTGGAGATGGGGTAGAAAGATGTTCAAGAGGACAATTTTGGTGAGGCTCCTGCTCAGGAAAATCAAAAGTGGCAGGTTAACAGATTTGCTGAAAGGAATCAGCTACCACAATTTTGAGACTTTAGGGTTTTGTAACTTACATATTCTATAGTGATCAGCACAAAACCTATATGAACAGCAACCCTTTAAAAGGACCTACCTTCTGTTGGGCAGGGTGCTAGGTAAGATGGTATAAAAAGCCTCCCCGGCCCTGAGAGTTCAGTTATCTTTCGGATATCAGGGAAGGGGAGAAGGGCCTCAGGAGACGACAGGACACAGGGAGGCAGCTCTACAAGGAGAGGAACGCTGGCTGAAGCCCGGGCCTGCAAGCAGGGAGAAAGGAGTGAGGAGCCATGAGGTGGTCGGGCAGTTCAAAGCCTGTGGGGGAGGGGTTCCAGAACAACACCAAGAAGGGCCTGGGGGGCCCCTGGGGGGCTCAGTTGGTTAAGCGTCTGCCTTCGGCTCGGGTCATGATCCCGGGGTCTTGGGATTGAGCCCTGCGTTGGGCTCCCTGCTCAGCGGGAAGCCTGCTTCTCCCTCTCTCTCTCTCCCTGCTACTCCGCCTGCTCGTGCTTTCTCTGTCAAATAAATAAATAAATAATCTTAAAAAAAAAAAAAGGGCCTAGGGACAGGGGCAAAGAGCTGGTAGGTAACAGGGCAGTGGCCCAAAAAGGCATACCCAGGACCTGTGAGGACCCCAGGGAGCGATGGGCGGGTGGGGACGGGGGAGAGGAAACTGTAAACAAGGGGAGGGCCCACAGCAAGTTTCACTTGCTTAACAATGTTGCCTTGGGCTGAGCTTTCCTGACCATAATTGTAACCTTACAAGGTGATGCTAGCGGGAATGGAAGCCAACCAGTTTCTCTGCACTGTCCCCTTCTCCATTTCTTCCCCCGTAGCCCTCATCTAAGTGTGGAAAGAAGCTGGTTTGCTTGTCAAATTGGTGGAGGCTTTGTTATCTCAATTAACTACCCAGTTCCATGACAGGTTGAAGAGCGTGAGATAAATTGGATAAGCTTCAGGGGGCTCCTCAGCCAGGCCAGGAGTTGACACTGCCATGAAATCAACATAGAACTTACATGCAGTCCATAACCATGGAAATGAGGTTTGCTCCTGATAAACCAACAGGCTCATAGAAGTCAAACAGACTAGCGGCAGATCCATGACCAAGAAGTGTCCTGTGTAATGACACTTACATGCATCAGACAAAGCATAATGGTGCTTTCCCTGGTGCTGGCCATGTAACTGTCTTTCTCTGTGAGGGAAGTATCCATGCATTGTGTCTGCCCTGTAGACAGGAAGGAAGGCAGAGAGTGGAGCGAGTTAGAGAATGCCTATTCTCAGAGACCCTCAAGAGACAGATAGCCATTTGGGTCTGCGTGATTTTAACATCAAGTGACTTGATAGATGTTTAAGGTTCCTTCCAGCACTTTGGTTTTGTGACCCTAATCTCTGAGAAGAATGTTCGCTGATGCACAGACCTCACTTCTAATGTGATGTGACACCAGATTGCAAAGTTACATATGATGTTGGACGCATAGCCTTGTGTGCCTACTGCAGTGATCTTTCAAAATCCCAGGCCAAACTGTAGCTGTTGGTATTGGAATCAGTTTTAATTCCTATCCCCTTCTATTCAATCACAGGTGATCTTTAGATGGTGGAAGATCTCTCTGAGGAGTGAGTATCGATCAACAAAACCTGGAGAAGCCAAAGAGTCTCATGAAGAGTTCCTAGAGAACTCCCATCTTCAAGGTAAGGAAGGGAGCATGTTATGTACTTACTGCTCAGTTCCCTTTAATTAGTGATAGATTTTGTCACAGAAATATCCAGCATATCATCATTTGAAATATTGATATGTTATTATGTACTTCAAGACAGAAAATTGTTAAACATATCCCAAAATTTCTCTTGGGAAAGATCTCCAAGTGTTTAAGATTCCAGGCTGATGCGTTGATTCCATTAATAATCTTAAATTGCATAAATTTAATTTTTTCTTATAACATTTAATTAAAATGGCTTTCCTTTAGTTAAAAATAAATTAAAAGGTTATTTGAAAACATAATCAAATTCTCAAATCCATGAACTCTCATGCATTTGGGCAAAATTGCTACCTTTTCTTTCTCTATTTTTTTATAGATTTTATTTATTCATTTGTCAGAGAGAGAGAAAGAGAGAGCGCAAGCAGGGGGAGTGGCAGGCAGAGGGAGGAGAAGCAGGGTCCCCGCTGAGCAAGGAGCCCGACCCGGGACTCGATCCCAGGACCCTGGGATCATGACCTGAGCCGAAGGCAGATGTTCAACCGACTGAGCCACCCAGGCACCCCCATTTCTTTTTAATATCAAGGTTTGCTCAGAAGTAGCCTTAATCAGGTAGTACATGAGCTAAATACAAACTGCCCTCCAGTTTCCCCTGTGCTTTTTGCTTTCACAATATCAAAATTTCAAATAAAAAGCAGGGGTGCCTGGATGGCTCAGTCGGTGAAGCAGCTGCCATGGGGGAGGGGTCCACTTCTCCCTCTGCCTGCCTCTCCCCCTGCTTGTCCTCTCTGTCTCTCTCTCTCTGACAAATAAATAAATAAAATCTTTAAAAATAAAAAATAAGTGATGCCTGGGTGGCTCAGTTGTTAAGCGTCTGCCTTCGGCTCAGGTCATGATCCCAGGTTCCTGGCATAGAGCCCCACATCGGACTCCCTGCTCAGTGGGAAGCATGCTTCTCCCTCTCCCACTCCCCCTGCTTGTGTTCCCTCTCTCGCTGTGTCTGTCTCTGTCAAATAAATAAATAAAATCTTTAAAAAATAAATATATAAATAAAATTTAAAAAGAATAAAAAGCAAACAGTGGTTTTTAACAAACTCCCATGTACCTATCACCTGGCTTCAATGAGACTCAAGATGTGGCCAAAATCTCTACACCAAGCCACTGTTCCCACTGGATTAGTTGGAAGCAAATCTTAGTTCTTACATCATTTCATGCTAAACTACTTCAGTATGTGTCCCTTAAAAGGATGCCCTTTAACTAAACTCCTTAATAATTATTTACTTTGAGTATAAAAATTGAAAACTAGAAGCTATGCTAGAGATTTTTATTTTATTAGGAGTTAATATCAAATACTTTTATATATGCGTTCTCATTTTATTGTTACAATATCCTTGTGAAATAACTGGTATTATCCCCATTTCACAAGTGAGGTTCAGGATGGATGTGACTTTCCAGGGTTCCATAGCTAATTACGGACATTGCCAGGACTAAGCACCGAGAGTGGAAAAATCAAGTATAGTAATCTTATTCTCAAAGACACATTCTGGGTGGATCTTTGATAATCAACACTCTTAAAAGACATTCTATTTTTTAAATTATAGCATGTAATAGTTTTTTTTAAGACAGAGAGTAGGTTTGGTTTGGTTGTGCTTCCTTAACCAGTTGAAAGTCTGGATTGATTGCCTTCAATTCCTGATATTGCATACATCTTATTTTGTTAACCTCTTTATAGCAAGTACTTATAAAATGCATTAGTGGTTTAAAAACAACCATGTTAGGGAAAGACTATCCACTTTTCATTGAATAAAAATCAGTCCAGGCACTCCTTACTTATTTAATTGTAAAATAGACATGTTTCTGCACAGTTATGAAGTAAACTGCTGTAGGGGAGCCTGGTTGGCTCAGTCAGTGGAGTGGGTGACTCTTGATCTTGGGGTGACTCTATATCATGTTGGGTATAGAGATTACTTACAAATAAAATCTTAAAAATAAAGTAAGCTGCTATATAACACATTTCATTTTCATGTCAGGGTCCATTTTACTTTCTTTTTTTTTTTTTAAAGATTTTATTTATTTATTTGAGAGAGAGAGAGAATGAGAGATAGAGAGCACGAGAGGGAAAAGGGTCAGAGGGAGAAGCAGACTCCCTGCCGAGCAGGGAGCCCGATGTGGGACTCGATCCCGGGACTCCAGGATCATGACCTGAGCCGAAGGCAGTCGCTTAACCAACTGAGCCACCCAGGCGCCCCTGAGTACAGTTTCTTGCTTGCCCCAGACACCTCCCACACTCCTGCCCCCTGCTAGGATATAGGGGTGAGGGTGGGGTAACAGTGGCTTGGGGATAACACTTGTGGGAGTCCTGATCCTGGGAAAATAGGCAATAAAGTGGGACTTTTAAAATTGCAGTTTGAGGGGCGCCTGGGTGGCTCAGTCATTTAAGCTTCTACCTTCCATTCAGGTCATAATCTCGGAGTCCTGGGATCGAGCCCCACGTGGGCTCTCTGCTCAGCAGGGAGTCTGCTTCTCCCTCTCCCCCTGTGCTCTCTTTCACTCTTGCTCTCTCTCAAGTAAACAAATAAAATCTTTAAAAAATAAAATAAAATAAAACAAAACAAAATAGCAGTGTGAGAACTGCAGTCTCAGGACTGGCTGGTGGCCTCTAGCCAGGAGTAGCGCTGATATACTGAATTAAATCACCTGACAAGTTCAAAGTCTCCTGTGTTTCACTTTTTAGATTTCCTACAGCATCCAGGTCTCTGGCAGAGGAGAAAACTCCAGACAATGATATTGTTTGGTCACCTTCTCCTCCTTGGTCCTTAAGGGATCCCTCAGAAGGCGTCTCTACAGCAGAACAGGTGTGCCCTGGGGGCGCCTGGGTGGCTCAGTTGGTTAAGCGACTGCCTTCGGCTCAGGTCATGATCCTGGAGTCCCGGGATAGAGTCCCACATCGGGCTCCCTGCTCAGCAGGGAGTCTGCTTCTCCCTCTGACCTTTCCGCCTCTCATGTGTTCTCTCTCTCTCTCTCATTCTCGTTCTCAAAAAAAAAAAAAAATTAAAAAAAAAAAAAAAAAAAAAAGAACAGGTGTGCCCTGGGCCGAGAGAGGGGCTCAGGGGCCAGTGGCCGGGATTTGAATCCCTGCTGCCTCTACCCAGCTGTGTGACCACAGGCTGACCCTGACTCCCTCTATGAGCCCACTTTCTCCTCATACCTGGGGAAAAAAAATGGTTATTCCACATGGTCGCTTGGGCATTCAGTGCCCTGACACATGAACAGTATTTAGAGCCGCACATAATACATAATCAACTCGTAATCACTATTTGCTGTTGTTAAGTATTGATATTTGACTGGGTTTGATTTTTTTCCATTCCTCCTTATCATATTCCCAAGATCCCCCCAAAGTTTTTCTCATCTGAAGGTCCTCTCCTACTCATATGGTGCACACTGGTGGTAGGTCTCTAGAATCTGGGTCACCCTTGGTGGCAGTCCTGGCAGAGGACCAGAACCGTGTTACTCTTGTTTCCTTGACCTCTCAGCAGCACTGAAGTTGGAGGGGACATTTTCTTCCCCTGGCTTCTGGGAGCTCCGAGCTCTTGGTTCTCCTCCTGCCTCACTGGCTCCTTCTGGGCCTCCTTGATGGCTCCTCCTCTTCTCTCCAAATCTAAATATTGGGGGCCAGGGCTTATCTCTAGTGCCTGTTCTCTTGTCTGTGCTTGACTCCTGGGGGATTGGATCCGGGCTCCGGCTTTAAATGCCACCATATACTGCAGTCCCAGATTGATATCTTCAGCTGGCCCATCTCCCCAGAAACCCCACACTCAGATATTTATCTGGCTGCTCCCTTGACATCTCCACTTGAGTTATTTCTAATAGGCTCTCAAATGTAGCATATCCCAAAATAGCTCCTGATCTTCCCTCCTGCAAAAAAAAAAAAAAAAAAAAAAAAAAGGCCTAAATCCCACGGATAGCCTTGCTCCCTTTCTTTCTCGCACACACTAGATATAATCCATCAACAAAACCAGAATCTGAACGGTGGTTCGCAGCCTCCAAGATGATTCCTAAAGATGCCCACCTCCCAACATTCATGCTCTTGTGAAATCCCCTCCCGCACTGTGCCCGGTCAGTGGGTGTGACCAGTGCAATCTGGCAGGAGTGATGGTGTGTTACTTTTGAGATAAGGTTATAAGTGACACTATGACGTCTGACTTTTCTCCTTTCCCCGTTTCTCTCATCACTTGCTCTGGGGGAAGCCACTGCTGTGCCTTGAGGCAGTCCTGTGGAATGGCCCATGTGATGAGGAACTGAGGCCTTCCGTCAGCCGCCATATGCATGAGCTTTCTTGAATGTGGACCCTAGAGGCACTGTCAAGGCCTCAGATGATGCAGACCCACATAACGTCTTGACTGAACCTCAGGAGAGACAGACTCTGAGCCAGAACCACCCACTCCCACATTCCTGAACCTCAGAAACTGTGTGAGACAATAAATGTTTGTTGTTTTAAGCTAGTAAATTTGGGGATTATTTGTTATGCAACAGTAGATAACTAATACAGAACGCTTCTCACCAATTCCAACTCTGGTCCAACCAACAACAACCTCTCACCAGATTATTGAATTAGCCTTCTAGCTGGTCTCACTTTTTCTGCCCTTGCCCCACAATAGTGTGTTCTCATCACAGTAGCCAGAATCAGCCCTTCAAGACATATATCAGGTCACATTGTCTGCTTTAAGCCCTTCAGTGGCTTCCTATCTCACGTAGAGTAAAAATCCAAGTCTTGTAGTGATCTTCAGCCACTTTCCCCTCTTGCCTACTCTAATTCAGGCAGACTGGCCTCCCTGGTGTTTCTTGAACAAAGCAAGCATGCTCCCACCTCAGGGCCTTTGCACTTGCTATTCCCTTTGTTAAGAATGTATTTTCCCAGATGTCCCCATGATTTGCTCTTCATTCAGGTCTCTGCCAAAACTGCCTTATTAGAGAGTGTTTCTCTAACCACCATAT